GTGTATGTCTCATACCTCGGGGTAGGGCCTGTCTTGACACGTGATTGGCCCACTGCATTGACTGCCTGGGGACGGGCGTTATTGTGACGATATCCTGAGTTATCGCGATAGTGCCCCTTATTCTTTTTATTAAAATGAGATTGGTGAGGATGGAAATCTTTCCTTTTTCCCTGGGACTGATATGTCTGCTGGTGAAGCATTAAATGAGGCAGGGGGGTGTGCTGCTACTATTTGGAAGGTTGAGGTCTTTTCATTCGGTTGGATCTAGCCTCCACTCCCTACTTGCTGATAAGGGGTGACTATAGGGGGTTTCCCTTGATATGTCCTTGCCTCGGCGGAGGCATGGTTGTAAGCTTGTGTCATCACCTCAGAGTAAGTTTTCCAAGTGTTGGCATTGATCATGTACTTGAAGAAACAGTCACGTAAGCCTGCCGTGAAAGCCTTGAGGGCGGTCTTGTCATCTGCCTCAGCGCAGCGAGAATACTCATGGCTAAAGCGGCCAGCGTACTTTCGTAATGACTCGTCCGGCTTCTGGCGAATAGTGTACAAGTCATCTGCGGAATGCAAGCGATCGGTCTGGAAGATGTGTTGAGAGACAAACAGCTTCCTCAACTCTTCAAATGAGTCTACTGTCTCAGGTGGAAGACGGCAATACCAGTTTAAAGCTCCGCCAGAGAGGGTGGAGGGGAAGAGAAGGCACCGTTCTTCGTCGATGTGTCCCCGGTATACCATGGTGGACTCAAAGAGGTTAAGGTGTTCAATCGGGTCTTCCCTTCCAGTATAGAGCTGTAAGTCAAGCTTCTGTTTTGTCTTCGCTTAGAGGGGAGTGTTGATGATCCTTCTTGTGAGAGGGTCAGGCCTGGGTTGGTTCCAGTCAGGTATCTCGGCTTGACGTTCAGCCTTCAGCTTGTTTACTTCCTCAAGGAGCTGCAGGACAAGGGGGTCCTGAGCGGAGTCGTGCACCACCGAAGTTTTCTTCTTTAAGTCCCCATCGCCTCTTGGAAGTAGGAAAGTTTGATCAAGATAGCGTGATCTTTCTCTGGACTCGCCACACTGACTTCTAGAGTGAGTATGTCGGAATGTTTCCGAGTCCCCAGTACCTTCATATTCTTCTGGGACTTGTTGCCCATTCCCTAGATTAACTGCTGGCCTGGGTCGTGGGAGAGGACCGAGTCTTTTAGAAACTCTTGGGTCATTGATCTTCGAGCATATGTGGATGGGATTCTCTCGACGTTGCTTTAGGAAGTCTCGACAATCGCGATAGACGACTTTTGATCCTTCCACTCCTTCTGTGAGGAGGTGCTTTCCTCTACTCCTTCTGCTTCGGGTTGAAGCAGCTGGGTTGAGAGAAGTCTCATGTTGATTATCACATTGATGTGTAGCTCGATCCTGTGTTGGATATCGGTGACCCTCCGTGTTGGGGGGCATTCAGATGATTGTTGACCTCAGCAGGGGCGACGAGCTTGTGTGCTTGAGCATGCCTAGCCTCGTGAAGCATCTCGAAAAGTTTTTCATACTGCTCCTGGAGGACCTCGTTCCTCATCGCTATCTTGTTGTTCTGAACCTCTAGCTCATCGACTTTAGCTTGAAGAGTAACTCTATTTCCTTCCTGCTTTCGTTGCTTCATACTAGGTCCAGCGGGGGTGTCATTCTGTGTGTTGTGGCTTCTTTCGCTCCTCATGTCGGAGAGAGATGCTTGGCCAAAAGAGAGTGTACGAGCGGTGGAAACCAGCTTCACAAAGTTGAAGAGAGTAGGAATAAGTGTCGTTTCCCACAGACGGCGCCAAATGTTGATGCACAAAATCAGCGAGGACTTTGGTACAACAAAAAGTGTCAGGTTTGTGACCTTCGCTTGGTTGCTTCGATCACTAGTGAAGATAAGTACGTAAATGAATAGGGACAGGGAAGCAAACACAAGATGTATGTGGTTCACCCAGATCGGCTACGTCCACGGAGTAGAGGAGTTCTTATTAATTGTGAAGGGTTTACACAAATACATAGGTTCAAGCTCTCATTTTGTGAGTTCTAGTGAATAGTTTAGTACAAAATGACATTAGAGATTATTATGGGAGAATGATCCCTATTTATAGAAGAGAGTTTCTAGTTTTGTTCTAATATTGACACGTGTCGTGTTGTGATTGGCTTCTGATGTTGACACGTGTCGCGCTGTGATTGGCTTCTGATGTCGACACGTGTCGCATTATGATTGGCCTTCTGGTTGAAGGGAAACTCTTTTGGGTCCTTGACGGTATAACGTTGACCGGTACTCAATAGTTTCGGGATTAGTCAAGTATGGTACAAACAGTGCTCCCTTAAGTTCCCGAGTGAGGGAAGCTCAATGACCCAAAAGAGTTTCCCTTCAACCAGAAGGCCAATCACAATGTGACACGTGTCGACATCAGAAGCCAATCACAGCGCGACACGTGTCAACATCAGAAGCCAATCACAACACGACACGTGTCAATATTAGAACAAAACTAGAAACTCTATTCTATAAATAGGGATCATTCTCCCACAATAATCTCTAATGTCATTTTGTACTAAACTATTCACTAGAACTCACAAAATGAGAGCTTGAACCTATGTATTTGTGTAAACCCTTCACAATTAATGAGAACTCCTCTACTCCGTGGACGTAGCCGATCTGGGTGAACCACGTACATCTTGTGTTTGCTTCCCTGTCCCTATTCATTTACGTACTTATCTTCACTAGTGATCGAGTACTCATCCTCAACTGCTGTCAAGGTCACGAATTCCACCGGCAAATACCTCATGACAGTTGATCAGATATTGGCTCTTTACACTGAAGCTGCCAAGCGTGGATGAATCACTATGAAGGAATGTTCTGAAGGACCATTTACATGCAAAGGTTGCACACCACTTCTGCCATGCAAAAGATTGAAGCAGAATGGTCAACGATGAGCTGAAACAGATCACTACATCACGACACCTTTCCATACCACATTCACTATTCCGTCAACAGCAAAAGTATCCCATATCATCAAGGTCGAACGTACTCTAGATTTGATGGACTTGTTTTGACCCTCAAATTCTTGAGTCGGCCTTATACTCTGGAGGGAACCAGAAAACCCTTCAGCACAGTTCAAGAATAAGCTTGTGGAAAGTTACTTCTTCAAAAGCAAAAGTATCTCATATCATCTCTTATCCATTTGCTTCTCCTTATCCTGACAGTTGAACGAGAGACAAGGAGAAGGAGAACAATCAACCGGAAGCCGAAGTCAAACCTCTGATCCTGGGTTGCTTGCTTGGAAGTTTGACTGCTTACCTTGTCTGTCACCTCTTTCGGCAGATCTCCTAGCTCTAGCGCGGCGACTTGGGGGGACTCCTACTATAGGGTTTGTATCGCACTTGACCAAGCCCGAAACTACAAGTAAGCTTCAAGTGAAATTGATACATTACCTTGTGCATCTTCATCGGTTAAAGATACCACCCCTGGATGGAGGAAGCGTACTTCTAGAGAAGATGCCACATCTACCTATGAGAAAGATAAGGCAAGTGAAGACGATACCACACCTCGGTACTTAGAAGTTTAGTGATTATTCAGCGGCTTGGATCTTGCAAGTCCCCAACCGAGGAGCTTCCCTCACTCGAGAACTTAAGGGAGCACTGTTTGTACCATACTTGACTAATCCCGAACTACTGAGCACCGGTCAACGTTATACCGTCAAGGACCCAGAAGAGTTTCCTTTCAACCAGAAGGCTAATCACAATGCGACACGTGTCGACATCAGAAGCCAATCACAGCGCGACACGTGTCAACATCAGAAGCCAATCACAACACGACACGTGTCAATATTAGAACAAAACTAGAAACTCTCTTCTATAAATAGGGATCATTCTCCCACAATAATCTCTAATGTCATTTTGTACTAAACTATTCACTAGAACTCACAAAATGAGAGCTTGAACCTATGTATTTGTGTAAACCCTTCACAATTAATGAGAACTCCTCTACTCCGTGGACGTAGCCGATCTGGGTGAACCACGTACATCTTGTGTTTGCTTCCCTGTCCCTATTCATTTACGTACTTATCTTCACTAGTGATCGAAGCAACAAAGCGAAGGTCACAAACCTGACACTTTTTGTTGTACCAAAGTCCTCGCTGATTTTGTGCATCAACAAGTTTGCTTCGAGGTGGTGCAGTGCCTCTTCTCCGTTTTTCTGTATTCTGCCCTCTTTTCCGTACTGGCGACATGGACGGTCAAGGACAAAAGAAATTTCTGGAAGGAGATATGATTCTGGATTTTTTAGGGAGGAGAGAAACATCGACGCCGTGGCCGCGTCGACAATTGTGAAAAAGGATGGGCAACTGTTAAAATGCAAATACCTATATAGCCACACGATCTATTTCAACGGTCAATATAAATTGGTTTGTAGGATCCGAACACAAAGTCCGAAGAAAATCAGAGTCTACACTGAGGTGGTGGGTGAAGGAAGGGGAAGATTGAGGTGGAGGCAAGAGAGAGGTTTTGTTAATGTTTTTCTTGATTCAATCAATTTTTATTAATTTTATTAATATATTTATTTTAAAAGACTTTTTTGTTTTTAAGTAATTAATGATGAGAGCAAATTTGTCTTTATAAAAATATTTTAGGTGATGTCAGCCCTTAAAGAAGTTATGTGAAAGTTCCGGATAGTGTTAGTAGAATGTTTCAGACGTGAGGAATTTTTGTGAAAGTACGATAATTAAACTTGAAAGGGTGTTTTTGGTATACAATTGACCAAAAAAATTGTTACTAAATTACAAAATAACTGCGCAAGTGGTTTATAGTTTAGTTGATTAAGAACATTGTTATTGCGTTTGAAGTATCCTGTTTGATTCCCCACCCCCCCTTTCCCGGCGCCCAAACACCACCCCCGGGGGGTGTATTTTATATGTAATGTAAATTATCCTTTGTAAAACAAAATGACAAATTAACCACATCAACTCAGAGTAAGACAATTCTGGTATATGTGTACAGTTCCTGCGATCTACCCCATGGATGAAGACATTCTAAGGGTTTGTCTTGTTAATCGGATTGAGAGGCTGGGACTGGCAGAGCATTTCATGGCGGAGATAACAAGTATGCTGGGACAACTTTACAGGTGACGACCTAATATTCATCATTAAGAAATATATGCACACTATTGATCTGGTTGGTTAAATTTTTATTTGAAAAATTGATCTGGTTGGTAAAATTTTTATTAAAAAAAAAAAAAAAAAAAAAAAACAGAAGTTACATCAGCTGCAAAGAGCCAAAGAACAAGGAAAAGCATGCCATGCCACTGCAACTATATAAAGATTCAATCGGGTTTCGACTGCTCAGACTACACAGTTATACAGTATCTCCTTGTAAGGATCATTTAATACTTAAATTCTAATATGTACATGCTTTCAAATGTATCTTTTTGTGATGACTTTGATATCTGGTTGTTGATAGCCTCGTTACGATGTTGTAGTCAGTTTATTTATTGATTTACATACCAAAATTTGTTAATATTTGTAGGGAAGTTCTGCTGGTTCCTTCGTGATGAAGATATAATGGTGTACATAGAAGAGCACCAAGAAATTTTTCTGAGTGCCATGTATAATGTATACAGGGCAACTGATGTGACCTTTACAGGAGAAAGTCAGCTTGAGGATGTTAAAAAATTCTGTAAAAGAATACTAGAAAAGGATACATTAAAAGATTCTAAGAATTTGCACGACCAGGTATACGTTCAACCATTATAATTAGTTATTTAATCGTCCCTTAATTAATTTTGTTGCATATCTCCCTTGAGTAGATTAAACATGAAATTAGTATTCCATGGCTTGCTCGGTTGGATCATCTGGAGCACAGGAAGTTCATTGAGATGAAAGAGCCTGTTGGTCCATGGATAGGAAAAGGCTTATCCTGCAGGTAATTAAATTAGTACTAATTAATTGAACAGATCAAGGCAGTCAAATCTCTGATTAAGCAGTTTAATTTATTAATACCTCGCAGATTATCATGTCAAACCAATGCCATGCTACTACAACTTGCCAGGGAGAATTACACACTACGGCAGTCCATGTTCAGAAATGAATTAAAGGAATTAGAAAGGTTCGTATTCACTCTCTACACTTTCACTTACTTCCATTTTTTTTTAAATTTTAACCTGAATTAATTAACCATGAAAACCTTTTTCTTTTTCTATTTATGTTTTGGGTGAAAAATTAATCATGCAGGTGGTCAAAAGACATCGGTCTTGTTGACATGGGGTTTGCTCGACAGAAAACCGCGTACTGTTATTTTGCCGTTGCTTCAACAGCATCACATTCTTCCCTGTCATATGTACGGCTCGCGGTTGTGAAAGCTGCAGTCCTTGTTACAGTTGCTGATGATTTTTTTGACAAGGAAGGTTCGATGAATGACTTGGAGGCTCTTGCCAATGCCGTCGCGAGGTACAATATATTAACACATGATTTTTGTGTGCGCCGGTTATATAAAATTTGTCATGCAATATATAAATTGTTATGTGTTGGATCTCACATACATGTTATAAGATAGAAATTATATATAATCTGCGCATAGAAATTTAAAGTAACGCATATTATTATTTTTAGCTAGTTAAATGTGTACATCATACAGATGGCAGGAAAAAGAACTGGATGGACATGGAAAAGCTATATTCAAGGCTCTAAAAGATTTTGTTGATGACATTTCTTGGCAATTCTTCAAACAAAATGGATATGATATAAAGAGTTATCTTCAGGACCTAGTAAGATTTTTGGTAAAATAATTTAGTTGACATAATTGTAAAAAAATAATAAAATGTGTTACTTATTTATTCTTCTTTTGTACATTTTGCCGAGTGAATTTAGTGGCATCAAACATTTGTAAGCTGGTTAAAGGAAGCAGAATGGAGCAGAAATGGGCATCTCTTGTCAATTGTTGAGTACCTCCAAGTAGCCAAAAGCTCTATTGCTTCACATACTATTCTTCTTACAGCTGCTCTTCTGCTTAATACACCTCCAAAATCAGAGACCCTCAAGTCCCCTCAAAGTCATCCACTTACAAATTCACTTATGCTTTTGACACGGCTATTGAACGAAATTCAAAGCTATCAGGTATATGAGGAGAAATTTTTAATGTAACCGTCATATTGTCATATGATATTATTAATGCATCTTTTATGGTGAACACCAAAATTATTATATTAGGGACCTAGGTTATATCACTAATAAAACATGTTTTGATAAAAATAAATAAATGCACATAAATAGACTAAGGATAACTTCACATGGTGGTGGGATAATCTCGTCGACGAGAAATTCATAATGATCACATTCTTGATTAGCATCATGTTGATTTAATATAATCTTAATCAATGGGGAAAATTGAAATTAATGATTTCATTGCAGAAGGAGCAAGAGGAGGGGAAGCCAAACCTTGTTCTGCTACACATGAAGGGAAGTCCCAAATTGGGGGCTGAAGAGTCAATTGGGATTATACAGAAGATATTGGATGAAAAGAAGAAGGAGTTTCTAGAACAGGCTCTGGGGAATAAGGGCATCAACGGTGATGATATGCAAGAGGCATGCAAAGAACTCCACCTCTCCTGCCTCAAAGCCTTTCAGATGTTTTTCAATTCATCAAATGTATATGACTCCCCAACAGAATTGCTTGCTGACATCAACAAAGCAATTTATGATCCCTTGAAAATGGAGGCACAAGGAATATTAAAGAAGGATAAAACTAAAAGCTTGGCTAGCTATGGAAAATCCCAGACTACTTGTGTACTGAAAGTCCAACGGAACTCAAAGAAAGAATTTGTGGCCAAACCTTACTTTGGATATGAGGTCTTGGCACTTCAGCTGAGAAAACCAACTATTTTTTCGACATTCCAGAATTCCAAGGTTTGCATCTATTCCGGCTACTGGGGTTAACACTCCTCTTTTAGCTTCATGCACTCGTCGCATTAGTGCAGAAATAAATTATAAATTATTCTGTTGGTAAAGTGAGGAATAAAAAGATGACTGCGAAAGTGGCTAGTTAGTCACCTTAATGTAATTGTTGAGAATAAATATCATATTGATAGGATGAGAGATTTTGTATGTGCTTATAAATAAGTTGGATTACTTTCCAATCTTCATATTGTCAATTAATTTTAATGTGGAACTTATTATATCTGGCAATGTACACGTTTGTGTTTGTGTTAATGTATAATAATTTTGATGAGGGGAATTGTACCTCTTATATATAAAAATAATTTCTTTATGAGTGGAATTGTCCCTCTTGCAGCCCCAATTAGAAGATAGTACGAAACCCAACTAAAAAAAATGAACAGAGGAGTTTTGTCTGTTGAGAAATTTGAGAAGGCAAGGTAAAGAAAGGAAATGTCGGAATTGCATTGCTTTGTCCACCTTTAAAAGCACAAGAAATTCTTTTAATATGGACTCCACGCTGACTTTTCTCACTCACTTCGGTGCCTAAAAATTAAATAATAAACTTAAATGCACAAGAAAAATTGATGAATCCATATTATACCATATATTTTATCCTTATCTTAGTATAAATATATTAGGTATTTTGGTAGAATTTTGATGTTTTGTTATATATTTTTAATGTACGATATTCGACTTCCTTTGGAGCAAAAAGTGATCAAACGGATGAATTTTGGAATGATTCCAATTGGAGGATGTTCGTGAGTTTTTCAAGATGATTGTATCAAAGTTTCAAATTTTTCTACCAAACCGTTTGACCGTGTCGATGAAATAAAGGCCCAGCGCGCAACTTTCCCAGATTGACGTTTCTTGATGTTTTGGGTATTTGGAGGTCAAGATGGTATATTTTGAGGAAGATTCATTCTGAGGATTTGTAGGGGACGTCTCCAGCTTCCAAAAGAAATCTTTTGGGACCAAATCAGAGTTGATTTGGTCGGTCGAAAGTTTGAGTTTTTGAGAAGTTCGAATTTTAGTTTAAATGAGAAACCTTTTATTTTCTGTTTTATTATTTTATTATGTTTTCTAGTTTTATTCTAAGACTTTTTAGCTGTTAGGGTTAGAAGGGAAGGAGAGGAGGAAACGCAAAAACGACCATGTCTATCCCTAGAAACTCCCTATCAAGCAATAAGACCAAGATTCCTTTTAGCCAAGTCATTACTGCTAAGCTTAAGCCAAGGATACTAGGGTGGATGCCAAAGCACATGACGAATAATGTGAGCCTTACGAGGGATGAGTTGAAAAACTGATACAAATATCCAAACCTTAAAAGTATCTAAGAATAAACTTATCAACACGAGTGATCTCAATTTTTTTGTCAAAAGATTTAATTGACATTCAAAGGTGATATAAAGAAACTGGTCGATCTTTAAAATTAAATTTATTGCGTGCTTTCTAAATAGTATTAATGATAAAAATCCCACAAAAATGAAGATGAAAATGTAAATAAAAACTAGTTTTGAGACAAATAATAGTCCACATGTCGAATATTTTCTTAAATATTGGGTTAAACTTCTATGACAACACAGTTGTGTCTCTTATATATACAAAGAGACTGAAGAAAAAATGTGATTCTATTTACCAATATAATAGGACATATTTATATTTGTAACCTATGAACAATCTTTATAAGTAGTTTTCTCGAAAACAAAATATAAAAGGACAAATTTCATTGCGTACTGGTCTACCCAAGGACACCATCTGTTGCACAAAGTATTTCGTAACAAAGCCTTTTCTTTGCCTCAACTTAGTGCGATTTTGTTGTGTCGTAACCTTAAAATTGACGCGACAATGGACATTAGTCCTTTAAAGTTTGACGCGACGAATGCCTTTGCCTCAAGACATCTGTTGTCTTCGCCGCATAATTGTTTGCTTCTCGACCTTTACCCAAAAATTTGTGCGACAAATTGATATTCCTTGGGAAAATACTTTTTCTGTAGTGGTGTATTCCTTCATGATTCCAAAGCACCATTAACAATGACTGCAACAAACGAAACAAACGCAACAAACTCATATTCAATACTCTGATGTTGAACTTACCACATATAGTGAGACTCTAGGACCACCAACTCACATATAGCATATTGCGAGATGATAAAAACTGTACCAAAGCGAGGATGCAAAATACAGACAACTCATATTGAGTTTTCTAATTGATACAAACACAAACTTACTGAGAACGTCCACCAGTCTACCCCACCTCTACAATGCCGACTAGCCAACACCTCTGACAACTTCACCAATCCCTAAAGAAATCCACAACCACCTCGCATTAATCAAAGGCATGTTAGAATATGAGTATGAGAATTTATGTTATAGTCGATTATTTGGATTAAAATTGGTGCATAGAAGTCTAATAGAAAAAGGCTTTGAATTGTTCAAGACCTTATAGGATTGAAATGCACGCTTGATTTTGGATTAAGACCTATTATTAGTGCAAGCATTAAATTTTGTAAGAGAGGAGAAAGTTTGCTATAGATGATTGGTGGTTCATCATCTTCAGTCCCTGCAAGGTAAAATGCACTATTTTGACGTCTTCTATAACTTCTTCTAGAGTGCTTCTACAGTTCAGTTTGATTCTTGTGTTTATCGAATTGTAGTTTTGATACTTGTATGATTTGTGGTTCATAAACTTAATCTATTTGACTTATATTCTTGATAAGTTTAGTCATACAAGAAACCAAGCAATAAAAGACATATCCACCATTAACCCAAACCAGATGAGGTAGAAAAAACATTGCCAAAAGGAAACAACAAAAGAGTCTAAGATTTTGGTTGGATCTACTAGTATGACCGCCAGACCAGATATTTTACAAATCTTGAGACAAAAGCCAAAGAAAAAAAGAAAAAAAAAAAAAACCCTTTGTGTAAATAAGAATATATGATCAGTTATTTTTATTGGTTACTTAATCAGCTCCTAAATTTGTTGCATATCTCCCTTGGGTAGATTAAGCATGAAATTAGTATTACATGAGCTTGCTTGGTGGGATCATCTGTAGGCTGGAGCACTGGAGGTTTTCTGAGAGGAAATAGACTGTTGGTTCATGGACAGCAAAACCCTTATCCTATAGGATAGGTAATCAGCCAAACTATTGCATTTCACATTCACTCTATCTCATTTTCTTAGTATAAAGTAGCACAAAATATAATTTGCAATGAAAATAAATGACAATTATAGGGAAATGGGGGGTTCTAATGACGTGTAAAATAGTGCGTATATTGTAAACGCAGAAAAGTATATGTTGGGAATTCTCCTTCAATTAGTCCACATGATATCATGCTCACGACACACCGAAAAACATATTGGGAGACTTTGGAAGCAAACAAAAGACAAATTGAATCAGACTTGTAGGCAATAATTGGGGCTTTTCGTTCAACATGATTAAGACTATGAGGACTTGCTTATTTGGTCGGTTCAACATGATTAAGACTATGAGGACTTGCTTATTTGGTCGGTTCGTACGTACCATCAGTAAGTTTACAATTAAACAAATGACATGCATGACATCAAGATTAGACAGAGTCATGTTACTTTCTTCCCTTATATTAGTCTCAATCCTCGCATTTGCAGGCCGCCTCCAAGTACTCAGATTCACACACACAGTCTAGTTCAATATATATTTTTAAAAACTGTGGTCATAGATAATGCACCATTTCCATATCAGATAAGTATTAATAAGATTAGCTGTGTTTGTTTTGAGGAAACTTCTGTGCATTGGGTCGATTTCGACTATTATGGCCACCAAGTAGGTCCCTACATATTTACGTATATTTTAATTGGCTATCCTATAAGTAATTA